TTGATCTGGTGATAGCCCGAGAAGGCATCTAGGAAGCACAATAGGTCACACTCCGCGGTGGAGTCGACTATCTGGTCAATGCAGGGGAGCGGAAATGGATCCTGCGGGCAGGCCTTGTTGAGGTTGGTGAAGTCGACACACATGCGCTCCTTTCCTCCCTTTTTTGGCACAACGATCGGGTTAGCCAGCCAATCAGGGTAACGGACCTCGCGGATAACTCCTGCCGCCTCTAGCTTCCGGGTCTCTTGAATGATGAAAGCCTGTTTCTCAGTAGACTGCCGCCTTGCCTTCTGCTTCACGGGGTGCACATTGGGGGCACATGTTGAGGTGATGCTCAATCACTTCCCTTGGGACCCCTACTAATTGATCAGGTTCCCACGCGAACACCTTCTTGTTCGCACGCAGGAACCTGATTAGGGCCTTCTCCTGCTCGGGCTCGAGGTTGGCCCCTATGGTGAAGGTGGCGCTAGTGGACTCGTCCTCGTCGACTGGTATCTACTTGGTTTCCGCCTTGTCTTGGGTGAAAAACTGCTTCTTTTTAGCCAGCGCGGCCCCCTTGGGCTCAAGGGCGTCGGTGCTAGTGGGCTGCGCCACCGCGGCCGCCCTAAAAACAAGCTGGAGCACCTGCAGCGCATCCCTTGTGTCTCCTGACATGGTGAGGACGCCGCTGCTCCCAGGCATCTTCATGAGGTTGTACGCCGGGTGAGTTGCTGCCATGAGCCGAGCCAAGGCCGGATAGCCGAGGATGGCGTTGTAGGGGAGGCCAACGGGGGCGATGTCGAAGTCGATCAGCTCCGTGCGGAAGTTATCGCAGGTGCCGAAGGTCACCGGGAGGCGGATCTGTCCCAAGGAGGCGATGGAACCGGCTCCGACGCCCGAGAAAGGCCTGCTGGGTTGGAGCCGCTCCAGCGGCACGTGGAGGAGGCTGAAGGCCTCCACCGAGAGCACGTTGAGGCCGGCACCACCGTCGACGAGGGTCCTGGTGACGACCACTTGGCAGATGGTGGGGGTGCACAACATCGGGAGCGCGCCCGAACCAATGGGGTTGAAGGGGTGGTCCTCCGAGTCGAAGGTTAGATCAGCCTCGGGCGCCACCCAGCCCGGGGGGGGGGGCTTCTCGGCGCTTGGAGGCGGTGCTGATCCGGCGGGTGAACGGCTTGACGTGATGGCTCGAGGGTGGTGCCTGAGAGCCACCCAGGAGAGCTGCGACGACAGGGCGGCGCTGGTGCGGCAAAACGGGCGAGGAAGAGGTCGCGCAGCTCCTCCCAGGAGGTGACAGAGGCCGTCGGCAGGTGGAGGAGCCACGCGCGCGGGGGACGCCGGTGAGGGCCATAGGTAACCAGTTGGCCATCACCCGGTCGTCGCCCCCGGCTCTGAGGACGACCCACTCATACGCCAGCAGGAAAATCATCGGGTCCGTCGCGCCGTCGTAGCGCGGCGGCGTCTCGGGCCTGAACTTGCGCGGCCACTGCACCTGTCGCAAGGCAGGGGCCAAGGCCTAGAGCCCCCTGGCCCCAGTGTCAGCATCCGTTGCTGGAGCAGGCGACGCGTTGTCCGCCATGAGGGCGGGATGCGATGTCGGGGGAGAGCGGGTCGTCAGGAGGGAGGACTTCAGCGCACCCCTACCTGGCGCGCCAAATGTCGGATTTCGGGTTCCGGCAGACCCTTGAGGTTCGAACACTAGGGTGCGCGCGGAGATCTCTCCCCTACTGATCTACTTCCGATCTCCTCGCGTGATCTAAACTGGAAACAATAAACAACACAAGGGGCACGAGGTTTATACTGGTTCGGGCCACTGTTGTGGTGTAATACCCTACTTCAGTGTGTGGTGTGGTGGATTGCCTCTGAGGCTGATGATGAACAATACAAGGGAATAACAGCCTCGCGAGAGGTGTTCTTGAGCTGGTGCGATGAACTGCTAGGGTGAGTTCAGTCGCCTCTCTCTCTCTCTCTCTCTGCTAGGGCTCTATCGGATTTCTAGCTGATGTCCCTACTCTGTGGTGGCTAGCTCTATTTATAGAGGCCCTGCACCTCTCCCCAAAAAATGAGCGGGAAGGGCACCAACAATTGGCCATTTTGAAGGGGAACATCTAGTACAAGTTATCCTGACCAAAGGTGGTCTTCGGCTACCAAAAGTACTGGTGATGACGCCGTCTTGGGCTCCACGATGACCTCCGTCCTGCGGCTCTGTTGGTCTTGGTCTCGTTGCACCGGAATGGCAACCTTTGCCTGATGCCTTTGCCCGTGCTTGCCCCCTTTGCACCAAAGGGGAAACAAGGACACTACGCAGGCCGGCGCCCGCCTGGCGCCCACCTGGTCTCGATCGTCATGGCTTGCATCACGGGCTCCTCGTGAGGTGCCCCTGCCTTGATCTCTCCGCCTCCTCGCGAGCCTGCCTGATGAGGCTGCCTCTGAGGAAGCTTTCTGTCATCCGCCCCGCGAGGCTAGGCCCCTCGCGAGGGTCTTGAGCTTGAGTCGATGAAGATGGGTCGCGCTAGGCCCCCACTTGAGCCACGCAGCAGGCAGGCAAGTCTGGGGACCCCCGTTCCCAGAACGCCGACATACTTACTACACATTTTTTTGGCCAAAGATGAGACGGGATGTTGAGCGTTTTGTTGCTCACTGCACCACATGTTAAAAAGCCAAGTCACGACTCAATCCTCATGGTTTATATATGCCTTTGCATGTACCTAGTGTTCCTTGAGAGGATATATCTATGGACTTTGTTTTAGGTTTACCTCGAACAAAGAAGGGGAGGGATAGCATATTTGTTGTCGTGGATAGGTTCTCGAAAATGGCACACTATATACCATGTCATAAAAGCGATGATGCTGTTAATATTGCTGATTTATTCTTTCGTGAAATTATTCGCTTGTATGGTGTGCCAAATACTATTGTTTCAGATCGTGATACTAAATTTTTTAGCCATTTTTGGAGATGTTTATGGGCTAAGTTGGGGACTAAACTGCTTTTTAGTATTACTTGTCACCCCTAAATTGATGGACAAACTGAAGTAGTCAATAGAACATTGTCTACTATGCTTAGGGCTGTTTTGAAGAATAATAAGAAAATGTGGGAAGAATGATTGCCTCATATTGAATTTGCTTATAATCGTTTATTGCATTCTACTACTAATATGTGCCTTTTTAAAATTGTGTATGGTTTCTTACCTCGTGCACCTATTGATTTGTTGCCTCTTCCATTTTCGGAGAAGATTAATTTTGATGCAAAAAACATGCTGAATTGATTTTAAAAATGCATGAGTTAACTAAGGAAAACATTGAGCGTATGAATGCTAAATATAAACTTGCTGGAGATAAGGGTAGAAAACACGTCGTGTTTGCACCTGAAGATCTTGTTTGGTTACATTTGCGTAAGGATAGATTTCCTAATTTGTGCAAATCAAAGCTAATGCCACGTGCTGATGGTCTTTTTAAGGTGTTAGAGAAAATAAATGATAATGCATATAAACTTGAGCTGCCTGCAGATTTTGGGGTTAGTCCCACTTTTAACATTGCAGATTTGAAGCTTTATTTGGGTGAGAATGATGAACTTTCATCGAGGACAACTTCATTTCAAAAAGGGAAGGATGATGAGAACATCAATACCATTGTTACACCCACAACCCCTGCTGCTATACATACTGAATCAATTACTAGAGCTCGTGCACGCCAATTGAATTATCAGGTACTTTCGTTTCTTGGTAACGATTCTAATGTTCATGAGAATATGATGTTGTCTAAATTGGATACATTTGTTTTGCTTACAAATGAAGGGCCTAGCTTGGACAAGAAAGATGAACCTTGGAGCAAGTTCAAGCATGGAGATGATGGCATGCGCAAGGGGATTAAGAACGGAGTTACAAGTGATGATTTCAGGACTTTGAAGCCATCATAAGGACTGCATGAAGCCTTGGACGAAATATACAAGATGCGGGTTCATAAATTTCGTCTAAAGGCTATTCTAGGTGACGCATCACCTTATTATTGGGCCAGGCCCATGTATTTTCGAAATACTTAAGTATATATTGTTTTTAGAGTCTGTATGTGTGGGGAAACAAGTGTTAGAGTTGGTTTCGGACCCCACCTCCAAGGGCCACGAAATCCACCATGTTTTCCCATATATACATCCCTTAGGGCGTCGTTTAGATGTGGATTTTGTTTAGATTAAAAGTTCGTCATAGCTGCAACTTCGCGTACTTTGTTTGTGTTCAACAACCAGACCAAGATGTCACAGAACCCCACCTTCATTAATAAAGCTTTCCTCTTTTATTAACAATACCCAGATTGCAATCTCAGTTTCTTGCTTGTTCTTCGTTTGCTCGCAAGAAATAAACCCTCATGGTCAGGTTGATCGTGCTCCGGCGTGGTCAATAACCCTCGGAAGTTGGTTTAGCGATTGCTAAGGCGCGACGTCTTCGCACGTTCGTAGTCGGATCGTCAAAGTCGACTCCCACAGAAAACGATATCTATCTTATCGAAATATCGGGACACCTTCGTCTCTATCATGTGGGGTGGGAGAAGTGAAGGAGGGGGCCAACCAACTAGTAATAGACAATGCAGCGCCTAAGGGTTAGACGCTGCACATTACATGTGTGGCGCCTAGCTCGTAGGTGTTGCACTACTGGGTACGGACCCAGAGACTGCCACCATGGACACATGTGCAATGCCCCAAAGCTAGGCGCTGCACCGTAGGATGTGGCGCCAGCGTGTCGCGCGCCACATAAAAAGATCAGCAGTCTGAATTAGTTTTGTGAAAAGTTTGTTCTACTCCCTTTGTAAAGAAATATAAAAGTGTTTAGATCATTACTTTAGTAATCTAAACGCTCTTATATTTCTTTACGGAGGGAGTATAATTTATTTCGTCTCCAGATTAAAATTGTCAAATTTGCCCCCCTCGTGGAGACTTCCCTTCGCACCGGAATCGCCGCTCCTATCTCGGTAGGAGTGCAACCATGTTAGCTCCGCAGCCCAAACCCTAACACCGACGGCCCCCCTGCGATGACCCCGCGCGTGCCGCCGTACCGCCACCAACCGGCGCACCTCGTTCTCACCGACGCTGTTGCTGCCTGGCACCCCTTCCACAAGAAGCCCTGCCTCTCCGACCGCTCCACTGCCCCCCCATCTGCTCACCATGCTGACGCAGCCGCCGCCGGCGCGGAAACCACGACCCCTCCTCCTTCCGCAGTTGGCAGCGGAGGATCCTTCCGGTTGCTCGGGCTCCGCAAGCGCCGGCGCCGTGGAGGAATCTCGCGGTCGGTCTCAGGTCGCAGCAGCGACCGCCGGAGATCCGGCACGTGCTCCGACTTCCATGTAACGTGCGGTCCAGGTGGTGGCGGCGCAACGGACTCCAGTGGCGAGATGTGGGCATCGGATGTTGGGGAGTTGCGGGCGAGGGACGTTCCTATGGCGCCGGAGTTTGCATCGGCACCAATTGGTCTGGCTGGATCGGGGGCAGGTGGGACGGCCGCCGGGGTTGAGCTGGCATCGGCTGAGTCCGGCTATGGCAGCGAGCCTGGCTACCGTGGAGATGTTGAGCTTGGTTACGGGGATGAGATAGACGAAGAGGAGGAGGACGGGAGGCAGCAGGTGTTCTTCTGGGGCGGTGAGATCGGAGGTGATGAACGTGCTTGAGTTTAGTTTTTGAATAATATTTGTCGTGCCCATTCTTTTTACTCATTGCCCTGAGTTGTTGGCATCGTTACCATAATACCATTTGCAGTATGAAACTGAATTTTCGCAGAATAGACTTTGTGAACTTTATGGATTGAGATTTGGGTGTGGTGGGACATTTCTTGTTTGGGATCAAATGATTAGAGGTCATTGAGCTCTTTGAGTCTCCACTGCCGAACAATGTTCTTACACATCAGGCGTAGATTTTACTTATGGTTTGTGGAAGATGGTGGTATTTTGTTTGGTTCTAGTTACTTGCTGGATTAAATGCTGCAGCGAATTAATGCAGTCAAAAAAGAATTTAGTGAACATGCATTTTGTTAGCTATATATACACGTTTTAATGAGTTGGTTGATTAATGAACTGCAAAAAAGTTTATATTTAGGAACAGAGGCAGTACTTGTTTGTGTCGTAGGATTTTTGTTTTACCTTGTTTTTACATAATGTGTTAGTACAGTGGTATCCTAGAACCATGGTTTATAAGGCGGTAAGGTGACCTAAGGTCAGCACCAACCGCCTTGATGCCTAAGCGCCTAAGGCGGACACATAAGCGCCTAAAGCGGGCATAATTGCGGGGCGCTGCCAGGGCGCCTTGTTGCCTAAGCGTCCAAGGCGGGACACCTTATAAACAATGCCTAGAACTATATTATTGGATATGAGCTATTGTGTACATTATAAGGGCATGTACAGTGGTTGATAAGACAGTCCTATCAGCCTGCCACATAATCTCCATAATCTTGATATGGCAATAAAAACATGATATACAATGGGTTATCTCTAAGTCTTATCTCTAATAACTAGATGCACCTATGCTACAGTTGATGGCTGCAATACTTAACCATTAGAAGTTTACACTCGAGTTGAGTCATTTTGTGATACATGGTTCTTATAACAAGTGTCTTGTAAGGTAAGCAATTTTCATATGGACTAAAAATTCATAATATATAATTTCCATTCTTGAGTTGAGTTTATCTATAGCAGAAATTTCTAGAGGTATTCCTTCCATAACACATGTGAAATTAAGCTGGGATTATTAGTTCTGTCCTTTAAATATAGTGAACAACCTTTTCTTTTTTTCTTTAGGTTCGAAATGATTTTTAAGAGGTATTCATGTAAATCAGTTAATTATGATGGTGATTTATATTTTAACAGTACAGTTTAAGATCAGCTTTCTCTCAAGTTTGTGAGTAAATGATATTAGATAATGTATTCCATTTCTTTCCAGTGAAACAGCATAGTTTCTTCCTTAATGAGCCCACGTAACTGTGCGCTACATTATTCAGTGCTATTTATAGAGATACCTAACATTTGCCAGTGCACAACTTTGAATCCCTAAGGAATAAGACTGTTCATTCCTTTATGGCACAGAAAAATCCAAGGGGTTGCTGTTCCTACCTTAAGTTTTGTGGAATCTATTTGATCTAAGTTGAACGAACCTGTATGGGAACTGCACTAAGCAAATTTCTGCTGAAAATAATTAAAATAGATTAAGTGGGTGGGCAATTACGAGTTGCCCTTTTGATGATTGTATGACGCTAATAGAAATAGAAAATTTTCTTGTTTACATATTCATGTCATCTGATGCACATTTGTAACGTTGTTAGTTGTTGCTTTATTGTCCCATAATACTTTTGCTTTGGTAAGTTTATTTATAAATCTTTTGTTCACAACTAACATCTAGCTTGCTGAGCTGGTGCTTGTTAGCAATTTTTTTTGTTGGTGGAATGGAACCATGTTGCAGCTTGACACAATTCTTCCCTTGCAATTGCTACCACATTTGACAATATTGTCCAGTTTTGGAATCATGGTCGCACTTTATGATTTATTAATAGAAACACCACCTTTTTTTTCATGTGAGAGCGTTGGTGAAGAGGAGTTAAAAAAGGATTGGGAAGGGAAGGTCGAAGGGGAAATCGTAGGTACGCTAGTTTGGTCACCTCCGTGCATAGAGATGCGGCTCACTAACAGTGGCAAGAAAAGCAATAAAACAGCTACCACTTGTATAATTCGAAAGACAGGTCATCGTTAGGGTTTCCTTATACAAGCACCACCAACATGGAGAAATACAAAGAAGCCAAGAAGAAAGCAAAGCGAGTTGTGAGTGAAGCAAGGGTCTAGGTATAAGACTGATTTATGAGGTGTTCAGTGGTGGTGGGGGTGGGGGGGCTGAGAACACTATGCCTGAGGTAGATGACACCAATAGATAGTTTCTGAGAAGGATTCAAGTGCTCGAGGTTAACGAGGCCCCCCTTAAAAGGATGAAAGAAGGAAAGGCCCTAGGCCCAGATGGTATTCCTATTGAGGTGTGGAGGTGCCTTGGGAAAGTGGTAGTAATATGGGTAACTAAGCTATTCAACCATATTTTTTGGTCAAACAAGATACCTGAAAAGTGGCGGGAAGAGTATACTTGTACCTATGTTCAAGAATAAAGGAGATACTCAAAGTTGTACTAATTACCGAGGAATTAAGTTTACGAGTCATACTATGAAGCTTTGGAAGAGAGTGATTGAGCATCACTTGAGTTGAAAGACAAACATCATGATAAACCAATTGTACGTCCAAGAATCGACTATAGAGAAATCATGTGGTGGGAGTTAGAGAGACAGAAAGTCCCAACAAAGTACATTACCCTAATCAAGGATATGTATGATAATATTATGACACATGTTTGGGCTGGTGACAGTCAGACTGATACCTACCTAATTATGATAGGACTATATCAGTGATCAGCCTTGAGACCATATATTTTCCTTAGTGATGGACGAGGTCACAAAGGATATACAAGGAGATATCCCTTGGTGTATGCTCTTTACTGATGATTTGCTCCTAGTTGACGAGACAGACTTCAAAGTCTAATGGGTTTAGGCTTAGGACTAAGACTGGTTTATGAGGTGTGACTTTAGGAGTGTTAGGTGCGAGGAAGGAGAGGTTAGTATAGAGGGACATATAGTGCCTAAGAGGGACACCTTCTGATACTTGGGATCAATGCTGCGAAGCAATGGTGGTATCGAGGAGGATGTTAGCCAAAAAATCAGAGCAGGCTAAATTAAGTGGCGGCAAGCATCTGGCATCCTCTGTGACAAGGAGGTCCCACAAAAGCTCAATGGCAAGTTCTATAGACGGCGATCAGACCTGCGATGCTATATGGAGCAAAGCATTCGCCCACTAAGAGATAACACATCCAACAAATGTGTGTCACTGAGATGTGCATGGTAAGGTGGATATGTGGCCATACAGTAAAGGACTGAATTAGGAATGAGGGGATACGTGATAAGGTAGGGGTGGCATCGATTGAAGAGAAGCTTGTCCAACACCGACTAAGCTGGTTTGGACATATCCAACAGAAGCGTGCAGAAGCACCAACGTAGCGAAAATACTAGGAGGGGTATGGGTGACCAAAGTCGACATGGGAGTAAGTGGTAAAAAGAGATTTGAAGGATGGGAATGTACCCAAGGATTTGGCTCTTGATAGGACTGCATGGAAATCAGCAGCCTATTTACCAGAGCCTTAATTTACTTTCCTTAACTATATTTACTTGTGCTTTGTTGTTGTCGACGTCGTAGTCATCAGGGTTCCAAATTCTAGCAGAAATAAATTACTGCAAATCCTGGTTATTTTGCTATTTATTACATGTTGGTTGGTAGCAGATTGTATATTGTGTTAGTTTTGGTCTAGTGTCATTACGTTGTCAACAACCAATGGATTTCATATATGCAAAAGGATAAGTTAATAACTTATATTCGACTATTACCATTCTCTTGGTGGATAATAAATGGGACCTTGGTCATATTGGTCTGGTAACCCACTTGCATATGGAGTCTGTTGGACCATGTAAAATCATTTTGGAAAAATGACGTAGTTTCATTTCATATTGTAGTTTCATTTCATATTGTTTAACTAATTAAATAAAGGCCAAAGCTAGAACCAGGAGTTTTCTCATATTCCTGTGCAAATTGGACCTTTTGCTGCGAGAATAGTGTTTTGGGCGTGCCCTAAAATATTCTCAAACTTGCTACCATGATATGCACTTCAAAATGGCTTTAATTTCATTGATTGAACATAAACATCTGGCATTGATATGCTCATATGCAGGTTATATTGGCATTGATATGCTCACATGCATGTGGAATTTTGTTGGCCATGTTGGTAGTTCTGGAAAATTTCAGTTTTCTAGCGAGACTCGCTTCTAGGATTTCCCGTTTCAGAATGCTATATGTTACAGACTTAAAATTTTGCGGTCTCTTGGATGTGTGATTAGTCTTGCTGTTTTCTGCTTTAGATAAACTGAATGGAAATTATCTTATAGTGCTAATAGTGGTATTGTGATTTGTTGGCCATGTTAGCAATTCTGGAAAATTTCCGCTTTCTAACGAAGACTAACTTCTAGGATTTCCTGTTTCAGAATGCTATATGTTACAGACTTAAATTTTACGATCTCTTGGATATATGTTTAGTCTTGCTATTTTTCTGTCTTAGATAAACTGAATGGAAATTATGTTTTAGTGCTAATATTGGCGTTGTTGTTGTTGTGATGTTTGATCCTGGATTCATTGTATTTGTATTGGTGTCCCTTGAAGCTATCTTTGTTGGGAATGGAACATTGCACTCATCCCTCGTTCTATGTATTGATCTCTATTATTCTGCAAGCTGTGGTACTTAATATGTTCTCCTTTTTATTTTCATTGCAGATTGCATCGCAGATATGGATAAGATGGTCATTGTTGGTGATAGTAGTTTTGGGGAGCAGAAGAGTCATCACCGATGCAGGCGCAAGAAGCATGATGTGAGGATGTTGGATGCTTTGAGATGAAAATGTTAATGAGACCGGTAAAAATCTGTACATCATTCTGTCTTGGTTTGCTTTCCGGACGCACCTCTTCCCCAGAATCAGTTATGGTATATCAGGCTCTGTACAGTTGTTTCTCATAATCAGTAATACTCCCTCTATTCCAATGAATAA